TGTACACCTTGTTGATCGTCAACCTACTCTTCATGAAGTCAGACAGGTAATCAGACAAATTAATTCTGGTAAAGCACCTGGTCTAGATTCCATTCCGGTTAAATTACTGAAGGTTGGAGGTCAGAACATGACAGAAATAATAACTAATCTTATTACTGATTGTTAGAATGGGACCCCAGTTCTAAAAGATTGGGTCAATGGTATCCTGCTCTCCCTATACAAAGGGAAAGATGATAAATCAATATGTGGTAACTATCAAGGTATCACTTTGTTGGAGGCTGTTGGGAAGGTTCTCGTGAGAATATTACTTAATAAGAAAATATCTTATGGAAGAAGATATCTGTCCTGTAGCTATCCCAGAATCACAGAGTGGTTTTAGGGGTGGAACAGGGACAATTGATCCCTGCACAACAGATTCAAGAGAAATGTATTGAGCAGAACATGCCTCTTTATCAGGTATTCGTAGATTTGATGAAGACTTTTGACGCTGTTAGCCAGGATATTCTCTGGATAGTACTTAGAAAGGTAGGATGTCCACCAGGGTTTTGTGGAAATGGTCAAGCAGCTGTACAGTAATATGAGAGCCCAGGTTACTTTCAATGGACAACTCTCAGTGGAAATCCCTATTGGCAATGATATGCTTTGGCAGGGTGATATCTCTGCTCCCACACTTTTCTCTATCTTTTTTGCAACTCTACTTGTGCATGCTTTCCAAGATTGTGATGAATGCTTCCATTTGTGATTCAGAGCAATTGGCGGGATTTTTCAATCTGAGAAGGTTTGATGCCAAGTCAAAAACTTTCCAAGCTTTGATTAGAGCTACTCTATGCAATTGACTTACTGACTTTTAGCAGACAGAATCTTGCATGCAGCATATTTTGGACAGTTTCTCACCCTCATGCACAGCATTTGGTCTAATGATAAGTCTTATAAAAACCAAGGTAATGTTTACTCCTGCCCCTGAAGAGCCATATATCGAGCCCAACATCTTTGTTCATGGAATAAGATTAGACTAGTTGAGAAATTTGTTTACCTTGGTAGCACAATTACAAAAGATGTCTCACTGGATGCTGAAATTATGCAACTAGAAGGCCTCTGTGGCCTTTGGATAGCTAGAAAGGAAAGTATGGGCAGCTTGTGACATTACCAACCATACCAACCATATGTGTGTATAGAGCTTGTGTTCTGACAGTTCTTCTATATGCCTCCAAAACCTGGACACTACTCAGCAAACATATAAAAATACTTGAGTGTTTCCAGCAGAAATACCTGAGATGCATATTAAATATCAAATGGGAAAGCAGAACCTCTGATACTGATGTCCTAGTCAGAGCCAATTGCCAAAGCATAGAGACTCTTGTAACATCTTCCCAAGTGCAATGGACAGGACACATAATTTAAATGAAGGATAGTAGACTCCCAAAACAATTGTTTTATGGTGTGCTGAGTATCGGAAAGCATCCTCAGTACTAATCAAGGAAAAGATACAAGGACTGTATCAAGAACAGCCTGAAAAAAGTTGGCATTTGGCTTCAACAATTGGGAAGGATACCCCCAGATAGAACTGGATGGAGAGG